TTGCATCTTTCTCGAGATTATATCTTTAATCTATAATGAGGTTCTCGAGGTTATTCTATCTTTGTTTTCTAAAATTGAAATGAACTCTGAATTGACCTCAAGTAAACTGGATTTACTATTTGCTACTCGGTATAATTTAATTTGAAAAGTAATGGCCTAAATTTATTAAAATTGAATGAGTTGAATTTATCTAAATTGAAATACTATTGAGAATTAAGATGAAAAGAATAAGCTCTTGATTAAAATTACTCTATTCATCCCAAAATAAAATTGCAGTTTCCTTTATTGTACATCACAAAATAAAAAATTATGCTTTCTAACTTTTCAGTTAAGAAAAAATGAATATTTTTATAAATGGTCCTTTCTAAAAAGCGATACTTTATACTTAGATTGCGTTCTCTTCGGCTGATCTCATCAGGTCTGAATGGATCTGAACTGATCTTAATGAATCTGATCTGATCTAATTAATCTAATCAGAATGGATTTAGTTGAAATTCAAATAACTAGAGTAATAATAGTTATATTAATAATAATACTTTATTATTATATTATTAATAATTAATATGGGCGGATGAGGATAAATAAACTAGTATGTGAATTTATTGGTAGGAAGGGTGTATTAATAAATGAGTATGTGAATTTAATATGGGTGTATTAATAATTATTATCATTTGAATCATTATTATTAATTAGTATTATAGTTATTATTATGTACGATAATAATATATTATTGTTATTATTAATTATTATTAACTATTAATTATTAATTATTATTGTAATTATTATTACTTTTAGTTAATAATAATAATGTTTATTTTTTAATTATTATTATTTAATTTATATTATTACTTAATTATTTATTTTTAAAATAATTTTCTAACCTGAATGAATTGAATCTGATCTGAACTCATCTAAATGAATCTGCTTTGATCTGATCTGATCTGAATGGATCTGATTTGATTCTTATAATAATACACAATAAGTAACATAAATAAACTGAAGAAAACATGACCTTAATCGCTACTCATGAAATATTACAAACATAGTTTACATTTCGTTGATTCCTTTCAACAAACTGTTCTTTGTCACTTGCTCTTAATTATACGGAGTATCTTTTTTAGAATTATTTTATTTACCAATTCCTATAGAAAGAAAAAAGTACGAAAAACAATTTACCTATTTTAAAATTACATTAAAATACTATAAAACATAATTTAACACTCTCTATGAAAGTGCACCGTTAAGACTCCGTGGTTTCAAAAAAATTCAACCAAAGCTTTCAGCATTGTTTCAAATCCCTAAGTCGCAAGCACAATATCCATAGAGCCTGTTCTTTATGGCTTAAACACTTAAGAAAGACCAAAGCAGAACTAAAACATTGAAAATATATCAACATAGGACTTCCATCTTTTTATTTCCGAAATAAGACTTACATTACCAAACATGGTCATATACATTACCAAAAAAGTATAGTAATTTGCACATGTACACTGCCACATTACCACAATTCAAAATCACATTACCACAGTGTAAAGTCCTATTCTGAAAAAAAAACATGAAAGTCTTATTTTGGTACTTTTCTCTATATTTTAGTCCTATTTAGGATGATTTCTATAGGCTCTTAACTTCCAGTTAATTTCTTCCAGTTCCTTCCCGTTTCTTCCAGTTCCTTCTAGTTTCTTCCAGTTTTTTCCAGTTTCTTCCAGTTCCTTCTAGTTTCTTCCAGTTTTTTCCAGTTTCTTTCAGTTCCTTCTAGTTTCTTCCAACTATTCTCGTTTTCTTCAAACTTTTTCTACTATCCAACTAATTGCTCTAAAAACGATATATTTTTAATTTGATTGTTTTTATTATATTAATTATTATTATTATTATTATTATTATTATTATTATTCTTACAATTGTTATGTTCATAACTATAGTTTATAAATTATTATTTTCATCTCACTATTTTTACGATTTACACTCATTTTTTTTCAACTTTTTAATATGAACAAGACAATTTTTTTATATTAATCTACAAGATAAAACAGGAAAACATCAATATTTTAAACTATATTAAAAAAACTATGGATAAAATAGTTACATAGAATGTTTAATTAATATAACTTTACATAAAACCCCTCACCTTTTCCTTTTTACTCAAATTATTCTTATTTCTCTAATTTTAATAAAAAAATTGAAAAGTCAAAATAGTTTAGAGAAAAAGAATAAAATAGGAGTAAAACATATAAAATGTGAAAAAAGTTCTATGTCTTTATTCCAAAAATAGGAGTTACAATGAAAATAAAATGTCAATTTTGAAAGAAAAATAGGTTTGATTACATTATGTGACATTTCTGATATTTAAACAAAATCTTGTAATATATAAAGTATAATTACAAATATATTATTTATAATAAATACTGCATAAATAAATTGAGGTGCAACGTAACCATAATAACTTTTTAAAATTTAACATTTTTATATTTATGCTAACTTTATATTATATATATATTTTGCAAAAGTAATTTTTTTGTGTATGAAAAATAATCATACTTTTTTTTATCTTAAATGCATTCATTAAGATAACATGATGATGATGATGATGATGATGATGATAATTTATTACATCAAGAATTAGAATGAGAACAATATAAAATTACATTAAAATAATTTTTTTAAAGTTTTTTTAGATTTTCCAATTTTTTGAAGTTTTTCCAGTTCCTTCCAGTTTCTTTCAGTTCTTTCTAGTTTCTTCCAACATCAAGTTTTTTTTTCCAGTTCTAGAGAACAACTTCTTAACATGTTTGTGTATGAATAGAAAAAATGTCAAAATTTCAAAAATGCTCATACTTTATTATGAGAGTGAATTTGTTTGGACGGGTATTAAAGTGCAAGAGTGTTATTAACATTTACTCTTAAAAAGTAAGCTAATAAAAAAAGAGTTTTTTTGTGTCATTTATCTTTGAACTTTTAAAAAATTATACAATTTTCCGCCCGAGCTTCAAAAATTGCACCAATACCTTTTGCAGCAATGGTTCCTCTACCCTAAATTTAGAAGTGTGTAATCACACACTCATCTTGTGCATGTATAGATTCTTCTTAAATTATATATCACATGTGAGATAAAATATGCTGTCTCAAACATTATCTTCTCTTACACACGCACATAACACACATTTTTATCACTCAAGATCAACTCATTTATACCAATCAAGCCATGTCAAGCCCTCCCGTAATACATGGTCTAATGGACAAGAGATGCCACGTGATACTTACGTGGCGGTGGTTAGCTTCCATCACGTCATTCCATTAAATTACACACCATGATGATGGGGCATTGTATAAAAAAACCACATATTAATTCTACCATAAAAAGGTTAATCTCTTCCTCTTCTGCCTAACCAACTTAGTGTCATGTCAACTTTTCTTTCCATTACATATCATCACATTCCAAGCTTAATTGTCAAATGATGTACTCAGTAATTTTTTAGTTTTACATTTTTAAGAAATTTAAGGAAAAATATGAAATTTGTAATTGATACTCTCTACTGATATTGCTTTTGCGGAGTATTGTTATTAACATTATAAATAATTAAATAATGTGCGTACAATTTCCTCTGTCCGGAAATAACTCTCATTTTAATTTTTCTTCATTTTACCCCACCACTGCCCTAGCTCCCACTGCTAGAGTGCTAGCACCCACCACCCCTACATCTTCCCCTATCGCCCGCCTCAATGCTGCCTTGGATCCCTCCGCCGACAGCTCTCACCAATATTGCCGCAGGTCCGTCTATGCTAGCCCTACAGTCACCGTTGAAAGAGAAGAACGAGTAAATAAAAGAACAACTAATATATAAAATATATTTTGTTTGATATTGTTACTATGTACGTTGTACGCAATACAATGTTATTTATTAGA